TCAAGGAAGATAGGGGAAGTCTGGAAAGTGGGCGGAGTAATTGCAAGAATGATGAACTACGCGGATTCGGGAAAATAGGGCTAGATGCAATACTCAGCATAAAGCACTGCTGGCAAGCATAAAGTGTTGATGAGAAGGCTTTTATTGTACTAACGGTTAAAGCAATCTCAAAAATGTGTCTGAATCTACAGGTAAAACTCAAAAGGTATGATTTCAGCTGAGTGATATTTTTGTCAATCATTCTGATTATTGTCCCTTTTAGAGATTGTCATCTGACTAATTGAGAGACAGACTCAAAATGGCTTTCTATCCAAGATTTGATAACCCTTAAATCAACTCCGACATATATCATGATCAACTTTGTTAGAAAACTATCGTTTTGGCGGATACCCTGTGTTAAAGTGACAGTCGCATGCAGTAAAGAGACACATAGAATGCGATGAATTGTGCGCAATAATTACAAAGCCAAAATTGGACGTCTAGTTTCTGTAAATATAAAGTAGAAATAAAATATGTGAGTTAATTTGCTGTATCGGTGATTAGGTTAAGAAGGTCAAGATAAACTTTAGGAAGGTATTAATTCATAGAACTTTAGGAAGGTATGTAGATGGATATTAAGAAACTAAAATCAATTACTATTTAAACATATAGTGTAATTAATCGGACAATAAGGAAAACGAAGTAGATTAATTTCCTAGATTATTTTTACTACCAGAATAAGGCAAAGCAGGATGCCAATAAACCTTTTAAAAATCCTTATTAATCTGGCCATCATCCCTATTTATTTCGCTTGCAGTATGTAAGATGTAGCCACAGATGTACTTGGTAGATCCCAGTGTTATTAAGTTTTTACCAATAAAAAGAATAGACTAGCCGCAATCAAATGTACAGAGATTTCTAAAGAAAACTGAAAATCAAATAAAACAGTTAAATCGGATACGAGTCAATCGCTTGATTTAGTATTTTGATAAGGAGGCTAAAGGGCCAACAAAACGCGATTTTAATAGTACTGGTTGGCCCGCGGAATCTGACTTTTGCATTCATGTTTAGTTTAGTAAGGTGCTACAAGAATCGGTTTCGATTTAACCCAAGATTCTAAGCCATCCTAAACGGCTGTTCTTATATAGAGTGGACTGCTGAGTATTGTTGCAATAATCCCTGGGATATTCTTACCTCAGCTGGGTAGGTTTAGTTGGAAAAAAATGGGTTCCTGAGCCCCATGGCGTTAGCACCGATGAATTATATAGAATGAAAAATTTCAAGACAGTAGACCCTGTTGAGAAATCTTTAATGTATAGACAATAATATATTGGCTACTATACTAGATATGTTATTCATGTGGCACAATTACTTGTTGCTTGCGGAATAATATCAAATGCATGACGGATATCTACAAAAATGTCCTCAACAAATATTTAAGTTGCAAGAGTTAATAGGTTTAAGTTCGTGTGGCTCCTGAATCTGCACATCTATTGTTCAAATCCGCCTGGAGTTGCTGAGTAAACCAAAGTCAATTCGATAGACCAATCCGTGTCGGATGAAAATGACTATTTAGGAGGCTTAGTGCAAAATCGAAGCCTCTCTCAAACGCATTATGGTTGTAATTAAGATCGTTTTCTACGAAATTCTCTAAAATGGTGCCACTTAACGAGGATAGAATTAGAATTCTTTTGAAGAGAAGATGTGCTTCGCTGATTCTTTGGATAAAGCATTGTTGAGTTGATCTCTCAGATTGGAGTCAGATACCTGTTGTTCTCAGGTTGAGTATAGCATGAATAAGACAAAATCTAAGGTGGCGCACTCTACACTGCGGCCACCAATACATTTGAATAGCTAAGCCCCTGATTTATTATTAACAACAGGTAAGATTTATATAAATACTGTTCAAACAATAATTTTCTGTCTCCTAACATACAGAAATTTTTAGACAGAAGATTCCCTCAGAAGATATATGAAACTGACATAACAAAGAAATCTTAAGTTTGGCTTATTCTATGGATAAGCGTAGCAAAAGCATATAACATTGTTAGACATCAGAGAAACTAGCAGTAGAAAGGCAGCAGACGACTGAGACCAGATTATGAAGATGAGCTAAGAAGAACAAAATTTAACTTAAAAGTGGGTTGACCCCGAATTTGCAACTCTGTCTTGTTGCCAATGGGACAAAGCTGAACGCGTATTGTCCGAAGTTTTCTGGCATAGTAGTTGTCATAATTCCCAGCATGTGCATGGAGTTGGTACATTCTTATGCATTCGCTGCCATTCTCAGCACCACGTACCAAGTCCACTGTCTGATGCTGAGAAATATGATAACTACTATGGGAGAGGGCTTCGGACAAGGTGCGTCCAAATAAGTCGCCCTGGCAACAAGACCAAGTTGCGAAAACGAGGTCAACCTACTTCTATAAATCGGAAGGAGACTGCGACGATATCGAGGGCCAAACCATCTTGATCT